CACACACACACACACACACACACACACACACACACACACACACACACCAGTGGGGCCCGGGCAGGGCGCGGCTAGAGGACCCCAGCCCTCTGGGCGAGCGGCCTCGGCCACAGCATCCTCAAGGCGTCGGGGTGGAATCCACTTACGATGACTCTAGGGGGACGGTCGGGCTGATTGCCTTTCAAATACTCGCGTGGCTTCGGTGGCCGGCACCTTCCAAACTCGCGAGGGCACGCAAGCTACTTGCAAGGATCCCAGAGGAGGGTGGGAGGGAGGGAGGGAAGGAGGGAGAAGGCGAGGGAGAGGGGTGGGGGAGAGCGAGCCGCCGCAGCGAGCGGTCCGTCTCGCACGCGCGGGCCCCGCGCTGGTCCAGGGCTGCAGGTTTCCCAGATGATGGCATCCGAGAACTTAAACAAAGGGGGTGGCCGCGGGCGCGCGGCGGCACAAAGTTGCAGTGGCGGATTTCCAACAAGCGTGGCCGCGGCCGCTCGCGGCGAGGCGAGCCTCCCTTCCCCACCCCCCGCGGGAAGGAGACGGGGGCCGAGCGTGGAGGGAAGAGGAAACTTTGAAAGCAGTGGGGACACATCTGGCTCTAGGTATCAGCTTGAACGTGGCGCGCGGTTTGCAGACGCGGGGCGGGGGTGCGACAGCACGCACCCGAGGGAAAACGGGTCGACTGCTATTTTCCATGATTTTCTCCCTCTCGGTTTTCTTTCTGACCCCCTCCTCCCCGCACCCTCCTTTTCGCTTCCATTTCTCCCCAACCGCCCCCCCCCCCCCCCCCCCCCCCCCCCCCTTACCCTCCCTTTTCGCCCCCCCCCCCCCCCCCCCCCCGAGCAATCGCTGCCGCGCGGAGCGGCCGAGGGAACGCAGCCGTTCCGGCCGGACACTAAGAGTTAAGATGTGGCGGACGCGTGGGAGGGGGGGACGCCGGGGGTGGCGGGGGAGGGGCATGGAGGGGCGAACGGCGCGGGGGAGGGGGCCAGGGACGACAGATTTCCAGCTTCTCCGACGCGCTGCCTAAATTAAAAAGCAACCAATCGGAACGGCCGGAAGGGGGGCCGCGCGTCCCGAGCCAGTCATCCCGGGCCTGCCAATCACCCAGCGGGTAGCCAATCAGCGGGGGCCCTGGTGCTCGACTTCCTTGTATTTGGGAAAGTGTGGTGGTGGGTGCGCGCTCGCGGCGGAGGGTAAACATTCGGCCGTCCCCGCTCTGAGAGGGAGGGACGGAGAGCGAACTGTCAGATCCCAGCGAGAGCGGGCGCCCGAGAGGGAGAGAGAGAGAGACAGAGAGAGAGGGAGGGAAAGGGAGACAGGCAGGAGGAGAAAACCCGGCGCAGAGCTAGCCCCGGCTGCGCCTCTGCCTCGGCACGCCCGCGCCCGCCGCCGGGCTACCCTGGAGCGCCGCGACGTGCCCGCCGGAGTCGCTAGTGTATCAAGGATCCCCCGTTTGCACACACACGTCTCCACCTCCACCAATGCACTCTTCTTCCTCCTCCTTCTCCAGACAACCGCGGGGGAAAAATAAAAGCTCAACCCCAACCGTCAGCAACAAGGTAACAGAGCAATTCGACCTTTGTTTTCCTGTTCAGTTTTTGCCGTGTTATATTTGTTTCCTAATTTCTGCCCAAAAGGAAAGATGTCGCACCAGACTGTGAGTGTTGCGAGGAAAACGAAAAGGGACTCTTGTTTCAGAGCCACCCGAGAGCTCCAGCAATAGCAACTTCAGAGACATGCACCATCGCAAGAAGTTTTCCTAGGACAGAAAAAGAAAAGGAAGGAAAAAAAAAAAAAAAACCCAAACCAAAAACTTGAAAGAAGAGGACCGGAGGGGACGGACAGGCGCCGGCCTCGCCACCCCGCAGCCGGCCCTCACCAGTACGCCCGGACGGACGGGAAAAGTTTTACCATGCTGAGGGGGAGGCCTTGAGATGCGTGGCTGACGAGGAGAGCGGAGCGCGCGGACGCGGGCGGCCGGGCTGCGGCCACCCAGGCTCGGCCGCGAAGAAAGGGAGCGCCGCGTCCTTTGTTGTCTCCGGTGAAGCCGTCGGCCGGCAGGTGGACGGAGCCCCGCGCCGGGCGGCAGGCGCGGCGGGGCCGCGCGCCCGGGGAGCGCCCCGCGTCCCGGCCC